TTTCTTTCCATCACAGTAGAAGGGTATCTACTGAAACTTGAAAATACAGAATGATCCTGGAAAGTGATAAAGTGGTCACATTTTTTTCATTAAGGATCCTGGAATTTAGTTGGCAAAGTCATTGAAATACTCCTGACCTTTCTCTTCTCCATTTTTGTCACTGCTACTCTTTCTGCCACCTCATTTCAATACTATAAGCCATACTACTCAGATAATCAAAATAGTTCAGGAAACCAAGAAGCTTTTAAATTTTTCTCTCCAAGTGAAAGGATATTCCCCAGGGGTTAGATTTTATAATCCAAAATGGAGGGGGAGATCCAGCAAGTTTGTCTTAATGAAATGTAGGCAGCATGAAAATTCATGGCATTCCATCACTCTTAAACTTGAAATCATCCACCAAAGCTACAATAATTAGAACAAATTATATTGACTTTTAAAAATTCCACTTTTGATTTTTTTCTGCCAATATCAAGAATTCTCCTTGGAAATAAACTGATTACTAAGCTGAAACCAAATAACTGATTATTAAGACAAAACTAAGCACCATGATTTATATGTCCAGAAAGAATTGCATTTTGTGTTGACAAATTGCAAAGGCACAGATGTACGTCAGGTGACATCTGGACTGGCAGGTGGGAGTCAACATTTTGAACTTATTTTCTTTCCCTTTACCCACTCTTGTCTATTTTTCTTCTCTAGCTTCATTAAACTTCACCAGCTTCAGAAGGTCTGGGAAGGCAGTGCATATATGATGTTCTGAAAGCACACCATCCTATGTAAACAATTGTTTTTGGCAATTCAGAGACTTCAGGGTGGTATTGCATCTTTGTTTTACCCCCAAAATAAAATGTTTAGGCCAAAGTTAGAACAGCACGTGCATTTACTTTCATAACTTGGCATATTCAAACATTACAATGGTACATTTAAAAAAAAGAATTTGATCTTTTTTGCTCTTTCTTTCTTTCTCGGGCCTACACCTTGTCCTAGTTCCATTGTTTTCTCTTTCACAGTACATTTTCATATCTTGGTGTATCTCTTCAGCATCTGTTTCTCCTCAATCATAAGTTTCATTCAAGAATAATAACTCTTTGGTCTCTTTGGATATGTTTTGTTCTGACCTCACCTATGAACTTCACCAGGGTACATTGAAGGTTAACAACTCCATTTCTGGAATTCTCTTGGATCCTTTTTGAGGAAAAATGCCAAAGAATATAAACAGGGGTCAAATGTATCTGGGCTCTGCCAAGTCCTTTGAGGACAGCTCCACAGAACTGTACCTTCTATCAGCTCCCTTCGGTTCTCACTGTGCCCAGCTTCCCCACGATTCCACATAGGAACTTGTATCTTTTGCTCATGCGGGAAAGGAAACTTTGGATTAATAGGAGTTCCAGCATAGTCGTTTATCTAACAACACTCTACCTTGCCCATTAACAGGTAGAAAATTGCTTCTCACTTCACTGAGCTTTCTACCCTCTTCTCTTTTCCATCCCACAGGCTGCTGAATGTTTCCAGTGCTCATTTAAAAATGCTCCCATCAGAGTTACACAAAGAACTTTTCCCACAATTGTTGAAATTGTAGAAAGTTTAGGTGAATGGCATAAGCACTGCCAGAAGTAGTTGGCTGGTTAAGCCGAAACCAAATAACTGATTATTAAGACACCTTCTGGCAGTGCTTTGCCTAAGGGGCACTGGGTCACAGGGTCACTCCATGAACATGCTATCTTTCCTATAACATATGTCAGGCTATTTGCTTCAGCTGTGACTCCTTCTGTTGCAGTAGGCAGTAAACCCGATCCAAAGTGGCTTAAGCAAAAAGAGACTTCATTGGCTTGTATAATTGAGAAGCTCAGAGGTGGGGCTGTCTTCTTGTGCTGCTAAATGTGGAGCTCAAAGGCTGCTATATGGCCATCGTTTCTCTCTATACATCTGTTGGCTTTTGTTTCATGAATGTCTTCTCTCCAGGAGTGCTGGCTCATTCATAGGCGGGCTGTCCCCATCAAACTCATGAGATGGCTGCAGAGGCTCCAGAACTTGTATCTTCTCAGCTTTATTTGCACAGCGGTCACTGAAGTCAGATATTTGACAGTAGAAAGATCAGCCTCATGAAAATGCACTTGCTGTGTATTGAGAAAAAGAAGCAGTCCTGGAGATCTGATATATTCTTTACCTGGAAACCCCTGCAAAATCCTCATTGTTCTCTGTTGCCATTGCTGATGCTTGGTAACAAAACCTTGCTTCATATCAAGTAGTTTTCATCCTCCCTCCACCAATTGCTTCGAGGGAGGCTAGACTCAGCCCCAACTCCTACTGAGTTCTAGTTCACCTTAGACTCTCATGGTAGCCTCTTTCCTCTTGACTGTGATTGATTAGGCAAGAACATGTGACACAATTCTGGCCAAGGAGATGTGAAGGAAGCCAACTGAAGGCTTTTGAGAAGTGTCTCCTTGCTCTTGAGAAGGAATACATAGGAAAAGATGGCCTTTTCTTCTAGTTGTTGTTGTCTAGACATGATGCCAGCAGCTACTAGTAGTCATAGGAGAACTAGCCCAAAGATCAAGGACTAAGCTGATGTGCTGGGAATGGCATGGCAGAAAGAAGGAAGGAACAAAGGACTTTGATTACACTAAGGAGCTGCTGTATTAACCAACTCTGGAGCCTTTGGACTTCTTGTGATGTGAGACAATAAATTATTCTTATTAATTAAATTATGTTATGTTGAGTTTTCTAGTTTAAAGGGAATTTGATCTTTTGCTATTTCATCTCTTGGCCTACACTTTTTGTTTTGGCCTGTACTCTGTAACTGTTGTTTTCTCTTTTGCAGTGCATTCAGCTGAAAGCATCTTAAAAGACACTGTCTCATCGGCTCTAGCTGGGTCACATACCCGTTCACTGTGGGGATGTGATGTGTGATGGGACTTAGGCTAGATGATCCAGTAACCTTCTGCAGTGAGATGGGCTCATCCCATCTGCCTTCACGGGCAGAGTGTGGAGGAAAAGGAACATCTACTGAGAAATGAGGGTATGATTTCTATAAAACAGTGAAATATATGCTGTGAAACAAACATATCAGATGTCTAATACTTTGTCCTTTCGAAGGTGTCTTACAGAATGGCCTCAAATTGTGAGTACAGTGGGTAAGAAGTAGGCCATCTCTTACTTCGTCTGGTAGCTCAGTAAACATAACTGTGGAGGTGTTTTAGACCAAAGGTAGATCTGCTATGCCATTGACTCATCTAAACAGACTATGAAAACTTTTCCTGAGTTAGGCTCTCATATCTCTAGCTTTGGAACACAAGCCATTTTGGGGTCATAGCAAAAGACAGTGCGACCCATAGCCAAGAGAGACAAAACTGAGTGTTTTACTCAGTTGCCAGATGATCCAGGCTTTCCTAAGAGTACTAGAAAAAGCAGGCAGCGATTTAAGCAGTATGTGCCATCCCTCAGGCCCCAAGGTTTTCTGGCACCCTTTTGTCATACTCCCTGAGGTTCAGTTGGTCTCATGGCTCTGACTCAGCGTGGTATGCAGAAGAGTGGGGCCTCAGGTCAGCCTGTGTCTAGTGATTTCAATTCTGCTGTTGGCTGCAATTCCATCTGTCAAGAAAGTTTTGCAGTCAGCCATTTGATAGTGGAAGGGTTAGCCCATGAAACTGAATTTCCTGTGTATCTGGAAAGAGAGGCAGCCCTGGAGATCTGACATGCTCTGTGAAAATTAGGGGTTCCTTTTTGCTATTGCTGGTTAGTCTCTGCTAAACCTAATATATTTCAACATTTGAGGATTTTTTTTAAAAAAGAAAAATTTTTCTATTTTTTATTATGAACTTAAGTAACTTCATGGCAAGAAAATCTAATCAACGTTAAACTATTTACTTCCCTCCAAAGTAATTTCCTCTCTGTCAATGCACAGACATGCATTTTTACTTAGTTATAATTAGTGTGAACATACTCGTTTTTGTTTAAGAAAGGTTTTCTTTATCTTGGCATTCAGATTTGTTTTCATAGGCGAAGAAAGCACTGGGAAGGAGAAGGAACCTTTGCTGGCAAGTTGGGAGGATTATATGGGGTCATACTATCTCAGAGTTAAAGAAACCTTAAAGGACCCCACATCCCTCTCCATATCTCTTCTGATGATCCTTTTGTACTCACAGACTAACCAGCGTGGCCTTTTCACTCAAAGGCCTCTCCAGATCTCCACAGCACCAAGGGTGCTGTCTGGCTCCTAAAGGAGGAATGAAATTCCATCCTCAGGTCTGCCAGGGCCCACCTATCTGTCATGGGCATGCACCATGACCCAGGCTTTACTGGGCTGTTGGGCTGTCTAATGGTTTTCCTTGCAGAAAGCAAGCCGGAACAATGCTGCTCCGGACTGGTTTTCCATACCACTCCTCTCAAATATCTTCTATTTTCTTAAGTGTGATCACACACCCATGGTTTCCAATCTATCAAAGCGTAACACTGCCAGTCGCTTTTTTCTAGGTTAAGGAAGTAGCCATATTGGGTTTAATTAAAAACAGCAACTATTTGTACAGCTGTCCCTAAGTTCATGGCTCATAAAAGGATTAACTTCAACCTTGCTGCCTAAGTCTTCTGGGAGTGTCACAAAAAAACATTTAGGCTTTTCTGGGCAGTGCCAGGCCTGGGCCTTGAGGCTTGCTGATGCTAGTTCAGCCACCAGGCTCTCGGTGCTCAAGTGGCATCGAAAAAAGCAGAGAAGAGCAGAACTTCTAGATACTCAACTCCTCCTTCTTTTGTTTGGCGGATGCAAGGCCTTGAAGGCTGCTTCAACAAGTTTCTGAAAATTCCCCTCGGGTTGGGAAAGGCACAGTCTTCCTTTTGCAAGTTTTTCTAGAGCTCTTCGTACTTTCGCCCCAGGGTGGGTCTGTTGCACCCCCACCTCCCAGACCTCAGTGGTCACTGGCAGGCGTCCTTTGAAGGAGGTGGGGGCGGGGTATCCCCGCCGATAGATGCGCCCGCACAAAGCAGCACGTTTTCTCATCAAAGCCCTGGAGAGAGGGAAGAACGAGCGCTCAGCATTTCGCTGATTTTCAAGTGCACACTGAGCAGCGCGTCAGGCAGTTTGGGTCAGAACGCGCCTGATTCCGACTTCGGGCGAAGGCAGAGGCCAGCACAGGTCACCGATTCAGAGCCGGGGGCGGGGCCGACCACACACGCTGTGAGACCCTGAGGCCGAGGAGCCGCGGGTTAGAAAATGTGACCCTGGCGACCCCAACGCCCCCGCCTCCCTCCCTGCTGCTCCACCTGCACGCGGAGCGCGCCGAGCCGCCAGCGGAGGCGATGGCCAGCCCCGCGCCCTTAGTGGCCTCCATCAGCCACCAAATGGTGGCTCTGCAGACCTTGCAGCTGCTGCAGCAGGAGTGGGGCTGGGGGGACGGTCCAGGCGCCCCCGGGAACCCGCGGGACCCGGAGCACGTGTCCACCGCTCCAGCTCGTCGCTCAGGCCCGCCGCGGGCCCGGCCAGGGCCCTGGCGCGAGGAGCTGGGCGGGGGCGTGGGGACCAGGAATCGGGGGACCGCGGCCCGGACGGGCTCCCCAGAGGAGGAGGTAGTGCGGGGCGCTGAGGGGGGCGCCGAATTGCTGCCCTTCCCCCGGGCCCGCGGGCCCTGCACCCTGGCCGGGATGGCGATGCGCAGCGCGCTAGCCCGCGTGGTGGACTCGACTTCGGAGCTGGTCAACGTGGAGCAGACGCTGCTGGGGCCCCTCCAGCAGGAGCGGTCCTTTCCCATCCACCTGAAGGTGAGTCTGGCCCCAGCCATCCCCTCTGACGTGCAGGGCAACCCCGGTTCCTCCAAGGGTGGGGCTGCTGGGATGGCGGTGGGTTGATCGCAGGATCCCAAACACTGCTGCCCACTGTGATTCAGCCCCGGTGGGAGAAGGAAGGGGGCAGGGGACACTCTGGGGACTCAGCAGAAGAGGTAGGGATCCCCAGACCCACCTGAGGCCCGCCTGACTGGCACAACCGAGATGTGGGGACTGCGTTGCCAAAATCTCCCCCTGGAACTCCTTCCTTTCTCACAGAAATCAGCTTCCTGCACTGGAAAGGCCCTTTCCACACGTGCAGCTTGTAGGGATAGAGGACAGCTCCCTCCACCCACTTTCCAAATTAATAACGCTTCCTCCAGAGCCTTAAATACACTTACTAAGTCCCTTCTGCCTTTTGTATGATGAAATCATCTACATTTATTTAAAGTTCCTTCACATTCATGAATCACTATTATTTTTTGCATAAATCCAATTCCCCACAGAGCTAAGGGGTCTTACAGAGTCAACCTAAATTATCATAAAGGGGGGTGAGAGCCAGGTGGGTCCCGGGTGTTAAGGCGTGAATACTAATGCTAAACTCTTGCTAAGTCACCCAGCTCATATAGGTAGGGCACATTTCCTCTTAAGGTACCAAACTGTGTTAGCCAATTTAGCTCGGGAACGGAGCAGCTGTCTCCCAGGCTGAGTGAGATTGCGGAAATCTGGGGGTCTGCGTTTCAGTTATGGACTTGCCATTAACTAACCTAATTGGTTTAAGGTCACAGATCTCTCTGAGACATTTTGGCTTTCAGATTTTGACCAGGAGCATTGCTGTATTGATTCCCCTGGGGCATCTGGAGCAGAAGGGAGTCGGGGAGGGGTGACGAGGAGAGCTTAGAATATGTCTCAAGAGTTGCTATTCTGCACAAGCCAAGGTTTGGAAAAAGTTGCTATATATTAATTGCACTATACACTGTAAAAGATTTATTTAAAATCAAACATAATAAAGCCTATTATATACCCAAATAGGTATTGTTTCTCGACATCGGGGTTTCTCAATCTCTGTACTATTCACATTTTGACCTGGCTAATTCTTTGTTGTTGGGGGTTGTCCTGTGTGTGATGTTTAGCATCATCTCTCGCCTCTGCCTGTTAGATGCCAGCAGCATATTCCTCGCCACAAGTTGATACAGCCAAAAATGTCTCCAGACACTGCCAAAGGTGGTGGGGGTGGTGGGGTGGGAGGCAAGATGAGAAGCACTCTTACACTCACTTTAGAAAGTTAGAAAATGAAGCTGCATTTCACCAAATGCTCTCCAATGTAAGATGTACTTTTTCTTTTTTTTGGTATCACCAAAATTTTTTTTAATCCTGTCATTAAACTATGATACACCATTGATTATAAGTTACATGCTAATTTAAGAGTTTTTTTGTTTTTTTTTTTTTTTGAGACAAGGTCTACCTGTGTTGCCAAGGCTGCAGTGCGGTAGCCATTCACAGGTACAATCATAACACTACAGCCTCAAGCCCTGGGCTCAAGTGATCTTCCCTACTCAGCCTCCTGAGTAGCTGCAACTACAAATATGTGCCATCACATCTGGCTTATTTCAGGGATTTTTTAAAAATGTGAATAAAAGTGCATTTTAAAATGGATGAAATATGAACTTGTGATGTCAGTAACACATACAGGGCATAGATAAGGCTGGCAAAAAAGAGAGACTGATAATCAGTTTTACCTAAGGTGACCCTGGAAGGCTTCTCAGAGGAGGCAGCCTTTAAAAAAAAAGTACATATTATTTCCCAGACATTAAAGGGAAAAATATTTCAGGGGAATCCTTTGGTCAAGGCCCAGCAGCACTGAAAGGGCCTGAAGCTCTGGAGGAATGACAGTTAAGTTCAATATGGCAGAAGGCAAAAACTGATGCTGGAGACACAAATGGGGGCCAGTTAGGGAAAGGCCTGTGTATCATGCTGAGGACCTTGGATTGTCTTGCAAGCAAAGGGTAGGTAGATCACAGAAGCCTGGATAAATCATAGAAGGGCAGGTTTCCATTTGAAAGTCAGGTCAGAAGACAATTTTCTAAGGGCTTGACCCAACTCGGTGGCAATGGACTAAACCCCAAGTCCTCTGCTCTGGAAGCAGTCCACTATAAACTATGCCATGTTAGCTTAATGCCACAGTCACTTCTACTTGGAAATCCTTTTAGTCCTTTCTAACTGACTTTTGATTCTAAACATTTTCCATCCTCCTCAAGCCTTCTTCATCCAAACCTCAACCCTCTCACACCTTTTCTGAGAAAATAGAGGCTGGTGGACACAAATATCTTTCTATCTAAAACATTGCATTTCTACTCATCTTCATTTTTGTCTCTAAAATTTAAATGCTGCCCCCCATCCCCACGTATATTCATGTTAATTCCACCGGAGCAAATCTTTCACTTGCTCCTGGACCTGTTTCTATCAATTTTCTCTCTCCTTACATTTTCTACTGCCCCCTCTCTGCTGACCCTCTTGGTCCATAACACTCTTTACCTACCCACCCCTTGAATCCCCATCCTTCCCTTCCTTGTCATGAGCAAACTGAAAACATTTAGATGTATTGCTGCCACTTTCTAGAAATATACAGCTACTGGAGTCTGCTGTTCACCCGCAGGGGGATAATGAGTTTTAGGGCCCCTGGAAATAGCCAGGGCTTTCAAGAGACAAGCAGAGAGCAGTTTCTCTGTATGATTTGTTCCCTTGGCAGCACCTAGGAAATTTTTTTTTTTTTTTGAGACGGAGTCTCGCTCTGTCACCCAGGCTGGAGTGCAGCGGCCGGATCTCAGCTCACGGCAAGCTCCGCCCGGGGTTTACGCCATTCTCCTGCCTCAGCCTCCCAAGTAGCTGGGATTACAGGTGCCCGCCACCTTGCCCGGCTAGTTTTTTTTTTTTTTTTTTTTTTTTTTTTTTTTTTTTTTTTTTTTTTTTTTTTGTATTTTTTAGTAGAGACGGGGTTTCACTGGGTTAGCCAGGATGATCTCGATCTCCTGACCTCGTGATCCGCCCGTCTCCGCCTCCCAAAGTGCTGGGATTACAGGCTTGAGCCACCGCGCCGGGCCAGCACCTAGGAATTTTGTTTGATTTGCTGTTTGCAGAACAGGTAATATCTCCATTTGGTTTGTAGATTAATGATTACACAGCACTTAGACTTGAGGAGATGGCATTCTGTCTTTCCAGGGGGCTGGTTATGCAGACTTAGCTTCCTTAATACTAGTGTTAATTCAAATGACTTGGAAGGATGTTTTGTATATTTTTAAATCAGGAACATACAGATTTTATACAATAGAATGATTTCAGAAATCCTTGCAGGAGGATTTCTGTGAATGGAAATAACTACTGTGTATCATTTAGAAGTACGTGGGAACCTCTCCAGCATCAGATCTCTTTGGTGGTGTTACTTACCACAGAAGGTAGGAGGGAGATTCACTTGAACTAAAGCCCATGACGCAGTTGACAGGCATTAGAGATCCTGCAGTGGAGACAGCATAGCACAGCAGTCATGTCCCACGGAGCATTTCAAACCTACTCTGCCACTTCCTACATTGGCCCTTGGGTAAGTTATTTAGCCTTTCTGTCCCTCAGTTTCCTCCCTGTATAGTGAGGATAATGGTATCTAACCTAAAGGGTTACTGAGATCATACATTTAGTCAGTGGCTTCCCAAAGTTAGTCTCCATCTATCTGAGTTATTATGATTATCATTATTATTACTGTTAACAGATTGATGCTGAATTCTTATTGACTGTTACTTTTGTAAATTCTATTCTTGATAGTAATGAATATGATCCATTAACTCTGTGTCTATTTTTCTGGAACTATTGACAAAAGCAGACTTAGGATGATCCAAAGAGATTTCCAGGAAGCCTACACTATCTAGAGGTCAGCTTTAGCCTCATGCCTAGTGATAGGCTTAGGGGTGTCACCAGTGAGTGACTCACTGATCAGTCCACCGGAAGGTTAAGACAGTGAAATTTGCAGGCATGAAGGCAGAAAAATTCTCACCACAATGATAACAGACATTTTAAAATAGAATTTTACTCTTGAATTAAAGAAACCAACACAATATTCCTTTGAACACTTAGAAATCATCATACACATGCAAACACCCATGCAGTGGGTTTCTTCATGGTGGATGAAAAATGCTTAACAGTACCGAATCTTATTAAATTTGGTGCCGAGGCTAGATTTAACCAGCTTAACAAACATTTATAACAGGAGGAAACTGAGGCTTGGAGGAATTGAGGACTTTGCTCAAGACCCTGCAGCTAAGAAGCGATGGGTTTTATCTAACTTATTCTCCTACATCACAGTGTTGCCCTTAGGGGCATTATGAACATCATGCTCAAATTGTGTACATGAGAGATCTTACGGGCGATAGTCGTACATGCTGTGCACTGTGTACACTGCTTGGACTACAACAGTCACATCGTAGCCAGCGGAGCTGCCATAGCAAAATACCACAGACGGGGTGACTTAAATAACAGACATTTATATTCTCCCTGTTCTGGAGGTTGGAAGTCCAAAATCACGGTGCCAACAAATTCCATTTCTAGTAAGAGCTTCCTTCCTGGCTTGCAGACAGCTGCCTTCTTGCTGCGTCCTCACATGGCCCATCCACAGTGTGTGCAGGCAGAGAGAGAAAGCTTTGCATGTCTTGGTGTCTCTTAGAAGAACACCAGTCTTATCAGAGTTGAGCCGCTTTATAACTTCATTTTACCTCAATTGCCTCGCTAAGAGCCTATCTCCAAATACAGTCACATTGGGGGTTGAGCATGTGAATGAGGGGACCACACAGTTTAGTCCATAACACTGAATGATCTCTGCACCTCCTTCCATCGTGGCTGCCTGATAGAGTGACAGAAAGCACTAGGTAAAATCAGGAAATCACTATCAAACTAGTAATACTAGCAGGAATGCCTTCCACATTTGCCACCTGAAGGGAGCATAGAAGCGTGCA